TTGAGGAATCAGATTTAACTTCAGTCGTCTGATCTGATGGACTGAATCTCTTTTGCTCTTACTGCTGATTTTAAGAGTTGCCCCATGCATGCGCACAGCAAAATCACAAAAAATCACTACTGCACCTTTCATTTGATTACTGTGTTCCCGTGCCCCGTCTTACACTGATCGTTGTTGAACCAAGACCCCATAAAGCACTAGCCGCGTGGCCGTTCTTTAGTGGAGGGCTCTGATACTATTCCCCTATTCTCAAAGTGCTTATCTTCTTAAAGGGACCATGACAAATTTCCATCTGCTTCCTGCAACTGTTATAACGGGATGGGCATTCCTAAACAGCCCTTTTTATCTTCAGAAGGCAAGCTTCTTCATTCTGTGCCATTGACCGTGTTGCACATTTTCTCTTTTTGTTTTGTTTTTAACTTGTGTCCTTTATATGAATGCATCTGCATGCTTCTTGCACACAGGTTCCATAGACCGTCAGTATATTGAGAAGCTCATGAATCACAAGGCATCCTAAACTCCCTCCCTTAACACATTGCTTCTGCCTGTGATGTTGACTGTCCGATTCTTCTTCAGCTTCAGAGTGCAGTCAATATAGTAGTATCTTCTATGTTATGAGTGTCATTAGAATGTGCTTCGGGTTTTATTTGAATATGGTCACATTGCCCTTGATAGAAGGGAGCTCAATAAAGAACGTTATATAACCCCATTTCACTGTGCGTGGACCTTCTGTAATCCATCAGGTCATATACAGTGAAACGCAATATAGCATCAGGATGTGTCTAAGCTGGGAGTGGATTGCAGCAGAGCGGTTTATTGAAGGAGGCATATCATGAGAAATCAAATTTACTTCATCTTTTGAAATGAGTTTTTGCAGTAGGTTTTCATTGTACACTGAACTCTCAGAACTCAAAACTTCTCTCCTGTCCAGAAAAAACGGAGGTAATGGCAGGAGAGATCAAATAATGCATAAATTCCATAAAACACATGTATTTTTTTTCTGCAAGGATGCATTACATTCGAAAGTAACACTGAAGACACATTTCATATAAATGCTGTTAGAAAAAATAACAGCAAGAATAAATTGTCATGGTTTTCACAAAAATAATAAGCAGCGCAAATGTTTTCAACAGTTAATGTTACTTAAGTATTAAATCAGCATATTAGAAGGATTTTCGAATCCTGACCTGACCGATCCCACTCCCCTCTCTCCCACTTTTGCTTCCTGTCAGCTCTGATCTGACCTATCATAATAAAGGTAAAAATAATTCTTAAAAATAATAATAATAATAATGTTTTCTGGAGGCTCATGTGACTGAAGACTGGAGAAATGACTACCATCAGCTTTCACATCACAGGAATAAGTGACATCTTAAAAATATTAAGATAAGAAAGTTATTTTTAGTAGTAATGTTTTACATTACTGTATTTTGGATCAAATAAATGAAGCCTTGATGAGCATGAGAAGCTGCTTTAAAAAACAAAATCATATTGACCCCAAACCTTTAGTGTATGCAAATGTTCTGTGTTAATTTAATACATATATGTTAGTTACATGTACACTAAATATAGTTTTAATGGCCATGTGAAAGTATATCTGTAATGTTAATGTTAAGGGAAATTTCCACCAACATTTAAAAATAATCTGGATCTGAATCAAATTGTATTACTAATTTTAAATAACACTTGGGTCTGGTGGTGTATAAATCTAAAAGCAATAAAGCTGTTAAAATATTATTTTAATATTTATTATATCGTTAAATGTGACTTTTTTTCCTCTTTGTGATTGTACTGTCACCTTTTATTTACAAAGCTGTAAAAAAAAAAAAGAGCTAAATGATGCAAAAAGAAGTCTGTCAGCCTCATCCTTCTGAAAGATCCCAACTTTAAGAAAGTGCTTGGTTTATTTTTAACGTCACCTCATAATTGGTAGACTCAGTTTGGCAAATAAACGAAAGCCTGTCAGTCCCAAGTGATAAAATAATTTGGTTTTCTTTCTCATTTAGAAAACTGCATTCAAATCAAGATCTAATCACTAAAGTTTTTTTTTAAGTTTCTAAGTCCTGGTAGTTTTTAAAACTGCTACACAATTGGCATGCAAGGTCTAACAGCCTGTGAGAGCTGACATGGCTTTGAGCATTTGTTCTGACAAGGCTGTTTTCTCTGGAGTCTGAATTATGGAGCTGCTGCTGTCGTGCCTGCTGATGAACAGTTTACAGCTGGAACATCACGACTCACCTTTTGAGTGTTAGTGCCATTCTGCCCAGATTATTCATCGGGAAATTAACAGCTTTATACCAACACTCCTGTTCATTCAGCAGCTATGTATAAAGTTACATTTCACACACTGGCTGTTCCAGGGTTTACATGATTTTTTGCTACATTTCTACTGTTTGTATTTGGATCTACACCAGTGACAAATTGCCTGCATCATATGGCTAATTTACAGCTTTTTCATTCAAGATTCAGTAAGCTCCGTTTAAAGGGATAGTTCACCCAAAAATGAATATTCTGTCCTTATTTACTCGCCCCCATGTTGTTCCAAACCTGTATGAGTTTGTTTTTTTCCACTAATGAGTCGAAGAGAACAAAATTGTCATTTCCTGATAAACTGGCACTTAATATCACTAAGAAAAGTAGAAGTCATAATTATCGTATAAAATAAATTGCTTGCACGAGCAGACAAAACAATAAATGCGGTCATTGTTTTCGGAAGTGGATGCCTGCTTTGGGAACGCTGCCATGTAAGACAGTTCTGGGAGAAATACTTTGATGTCAGACTTTGTTTGGGCATTTAAGCATGATCATAACATTTCAAATGCTGTGCAATGACATCAGTCTGCTGGTTAGTCAGGTTATGCCATCCCATAGCATAAAGTCACATGACTTCTTTGATGCACATGGAGGAATTTATTCGCAAAATGCCTTTCCATCTCCCATTATTCGCTTTAACCCTTTTTCACACAAGTCAAAAACCACCTCAAGCGAGTGTAAAAACAATTTTGTGAATTAACGTTTTCTTTTTTTTAAATTTAGTGTTTCCATCACTCATTTCTGATGCGATACTTCAAAATGCGCATAAAAATCAGTGGCTACTATAAACTTTTTGGTTATCATCATTCGTCAAAATATCTTCTTTTGTGTTCAACAGAAGAAAGAAACTCATAGAGGTTCGGAACAGCTTGAAGGTGATAAAGTGATGACAGAATTTTTATTTTTGAGTGAACTATCCCTTTAAGATCTATATTGTGACATGCTGACATTAAACACAGAAACATAAAACTAGATTTTTAATCATTGTCATGACAAAACACATTAGTTATTTGCCTCACACTGTTTTATGAAGGGATTTACAGACAGCAACTGTGACATTGGCAAAGTGGCATTTCGTTCCTGACCGAATTTGTGTTTTTAACGAATTGAGGAAATGAATTTTTAACCCATTCTTGCTTTGTTCCTGAATGAATCAATAATTTTAAACAAATTAAATGACTCACTCAAGACCTACCACCACTTATTGTTTTAGTTTTAAATTTTAAATTCTTTATTATTTATTATTCTTATAGCATTATTTTTGCTGTATAAATCTATTTATACCACCTCTGAGCTGCATCAACAGTCTAAATACATCTAAAAGCCTGATGCTGCTTCTGTGCCTTTTCTGCATTGCAAAGATGGATTTTATTAGTTATTTCATCAGTAAGAGCCATTGTCTTATTCTGAACAAATTTATTGAATTTGACAAAAAAATGATGCATAGCCTGTATTTAATAAGATTAGAAAAATGCCCCTGGAAAACCATAACGGAAAGTTCATTACTGTCACTTATGGTGAGATAATGGCCATCTATGCTGTACAGACTAAATTCTCAAATCGACCAAAAATGCATGGATAACACCATAAAGTTAGTAAAAATTGTATGTAATCAGTTAATTTTAAGTTTTTAATGCCCTAAGAGCTTCGAACAATTCGAACACTGATCCAGTTGTATCCAAATTCCTGTAATGACCGTGTAACACAATGAGGGTGAGTAAATGATAGAATTTTCATCGCAGGGTGAATTATCCCTTAAAGGGATAGTTCACCCAAAAATTAAAATTTGATGTTTATCTGCTTACCCCCAGGGCATCCAAGATGTAGGTGACTTTGTTTCGTCAGTAGAACACAAACTGAGATTTTTACTCAAACCGTTGCAGTCTGTCAGTCCTATAATGTCAGTGGATAGGAATCACGGCTTTGAGAGTAATAAAACATACAACAAAACCAAATTAAACCCTGCAGCTCGTGACGATACATTGATGTGAAAAGACACAAAGCGATCAGTCTGTGCAAGAAACTGTTACTACCACGTTCAAGGCCCAGAAAGTTAGTAAGTAATATTCCATGTGACATCAGTGGTTCAACAATTCTTCCGTGGCTCATGTGTATGTTGCTGCTGACACAGGAGCCGGCGTTCTGACGTAGAACCTGGATGTGCTGCAGTTTGTTTGCAAGCAGAGGAGTGCACATGCATGTCATGAACGCGAGTCAAAGTCTGACGCGGAAAAGAAGAAATTGTTGAATAAAGTCGTTATTTTTGTTTTCTTAGCACAGAAAAAGTATTCTCATAGCTTCATAAAATTATGGTTGAATCACTGATGTCACATGAATTATTTTAACGATGTCCTTACTACCTTTCTGGGCCTTGAACTTAGTAGCTGCGTTGCTGTCTATGCAGAGTCAGAAAGCTCTCAGATTTCATCAAAAATATCTTAATTTGTGTTCCGAAGATAAACGAAGGTCTTATGGGTTTGGAATGACACAAAGGTGAGTAATTAATGACAATTTTCATTTTTTGGTGATCTATCCCTTTAAAACATACAGTATTTGTCACAAAATTCTTTTAACCAATGAAAGGCCATCATCTTTCTCAGTGTATAGTCAGAACTGACATAATGTGATGCGAGACATTTATGAACAAAATGTCACTCAAACATTTTCACTCAAGGAACGCAACTTTTATTCCCCCTTGTGCAAGGAACTCAGCATTTTCAACTGAATATAACAAAATTCATATTGTGATTACATATTGGGAAACATTTTAGCACTGAAAAACGACTAGAACAAAACGGTTCACTTTTCAATGTCTGTATTAATATCAACAGTAGTCAAGAAGGATCTGACTACAAATTCTAAATAGTCACAAGAAGATCTTTTTCCTTCAAAGGCATAAAATGACAACACTCACTATCGACACCCATTTTAAACATCAGAACTATTACTCTAGATATTGCTATACTTTGAATGGCATATACTGTAGGACCATGACAGCTATCTCATGTAGCTCGATGGTTCCAGAACAATCCACATAGTGGACTTCAAAATAGAACCTAAATGGAGACTTTGGTTCAAGGTATCTGTCAAAAGAGGGTGCTTCATACTGCATTTTCAGACAGGAAGTTGTACATGAAGAATTAAATCTAAAAACAGACATTCTTCAAAAAGGAATAAGAAGAATTGAAAGGCACAACACTTAAGTTTCAAAAAAAATCTGCTGGACTTCGGTTTGAGTAATAGTGCACGCTGTGTGAGATCATTGTTAATTCTGATTGGTTTAAACCATGTAAGTCTGAATGTTTACAGTGGCTCTAAATGCAAACGTAATGGCAGAAAAACCATGTACTGTAACCTTGTTCTTTTCTACTTCTCCATTTCACTCTGATAAGCCCAAAGTAGGGTAGGTAGTGTGATTTTAAAGTCAACATGAACTCAAAAGGAACCCTATTTACTTTAACGCACGTTGTTTGGTCTTACTGTGCATAACCATTGGTGTATATTATTTCACAGATGATTTGTTTTTGTAATCTTTCACCATTGCTCCACCCGAAACAACTTTACTTTGTCTGCTGACATCTAGGTCGTGCCTGTTAATGTTTACTAATAGTCAAACAGCAATGTGGTAACACTTTACAATAGTGCTGCAGGAATGAGTCCTAAAACCCAGACTCGTCATCACAAAGTCAATGCCTGAAATAAGTTCTGTGGTTCACACAAGCTTATTATTCATTAAAACAAAGTAATACACTACCTATAAGTTTTTTTAAAGCTTTTACATGTCTTGAAAAAGGTGGTTGCTAACAAGTGGCTAAATGGGACTACAGAGGTGGTTGGGGCATTAAACATGACATTGAACACACAAAAAAATCATCTTTTACAGCCTTTTGTTTATACTTGATCAAACTATCCCAACTCAAATTTTCCAACTTTATTTTAGAATTGAAATAAAGGTCGTAAGAAGTTTAATGGTTGTGACATTGAAGTCGAGTGACTGCTTCTAGTGATTGTATTCGGTCTTCAAAATTCACTAACGTTATGTTCATTGTCTCGAACAAAACGTGCAAGAATTATAAACTTTTACAGGTCACAGAGCTTATTTTACACAATAATCCAAAATCGAATGGGAAAATTCTATTGGCTTTTGTCGAGGGAACCAGGGTGATGCCAATGCTGCATTTACACCATGTCGTACAGTAATTATTAGATGATAACTTGTGCCGGAACTGTTCCTGTCTTGAATTATACATTTCTATGGCAACACTATTAATGCCACAATGAATCTGTGTAATTTGAGTAATCAATAGAAGAAAAAAAAACAATACATCAAATAACAGTCCTTATGCAAATGCATTAAATTGCCTTAAATGAATTAACTTTATTTAGTGGGACATTAGATGCATTCAGCTGTGCTGGCCACATTAAACTATTGTATGTCTTTTATTTTTTAGATTATCCTGGCACTATCAAGACATTAACAATAGTCAAGTACTGGAATTATTATTAATTATATGAATTACTTAAATATTATTAAACAGAAATATTACCCAATATTATTACGTCACTACAATTTGCAGCTGAATTTGCTGTCATTTTAAGAAAATTGCAACACAATTTGCACAATTTGTAATTACAAATTCTAAGAGGACGTGACCGTCCTCAAGTCAGAACGTTTACAAGTCAGAATCTCGTAATTACGTTAATCCTGACATGGTGTGAATGAACCATAATGTCTGGGTTGGCTTGCAAAAGCAAAATTACATCATATCTGCAGCACTTAAATTAGTATGTAGTGCTTAGTTAATACATTAGGTATTGTGAACTAACAAATCAATGGTAATAAGTTACAGCATTTATTAATATACTATTGTTTATTGTTACTTTGTTTATTTTGTTTTAATTTACTAATGCTAATTATTGTGAATATATAACTATAAAGAAGTTAAAAAGTATTATATGCATACATTAAAATCAATGTAGATTGATAAATGCTGTAAATTATTGTTTGTTCATAGTTGTTAATTTTCTGGCCAGATTGATACCTAATTATTGTAAAGTGTTGGCAATGTTTTAAACTCAGGTCTGACTCTATATTTTGTTCTCGTCTTTCATTCAGAAGTTCATCACTCAGAAAAATAGACTCAATGTTGTTTCATGTTGACTTTAACATTATTTCTTTTTTTTTATCCCTTAGATAAGTACTAATATTTACACATTTCTCTGTTGATTATATCTATTATTTCAAATCACACAATACTTATAAGGAAAACTTGAGTAGCTACTGATAATTTAAGAATGAAACAAACTAATTATAAAAACACTGAAACTCATAGAACTCTAGAGTATTATATAGGAAAAGGAATATTGCTTTAATACTGATTCTTAAACTCTATGGTTGCTGCACTACATTTAATCTGTGCTTACCAGAAAAAACAAACAAAAAACATTTCAGGACACTAGCGTATCTCACAAACATCTCTGAAAACGAAGTTCTGTAATGGTCTACCACAGTTCTGTAGGTTTATAAGATGTGACACAAACCATGGCGTCTTGTTCGTCCCTGAGGGCGTTTTTCACCACATCTTATGCCTGAGAGCCAGCCTCAGAGTGCTTTATTTCACATTTAGTTTACGAGTACACAGCCCTGTGGGGCCTCTACGGTCTCCATCATCTCACAGTCCAGGAAGGTGGCTTCAGGTGCAGGTTGAGCCGAAGGGCTTTCTGCTTTGCCTGGTGGGAGAGGTGGCGGGGCAGGACTCCACGCGTACAGGGGCTCTGTAGGGAGGGATGAGGTGTAGTTTGTGCAGTTGTCTGGCGGTGGAGGCCAGTCTGGGAAACGGGCTGGCTTGGGGACGTATGTCAGGGATGAAGTGCCAGGCTCCAGAAAAGGAGCTAGGGTTTGGGTCCGTGTGAAGGGAGAGCTGGATAAGGGACCGCTGCTGTTCTGGGGGTCTCTGCTGTCCTGGGGAGGGTGGTAAGCATCCTCAGCCAGCTGCATCTGGTGGAAGTAAGCCTGTACCTGAGACTGCTTCTGGAGATAGAGCCTCTTCTGCTGCAGTCTGCGTAGAGAATTACAAATGAACAAGATGTGTCAAAATAACTAAAACTTAAGGACAACTTTGGGAAATCAGTGCATTATGAAGGCAGTTGTTCCTGACCTGTGTTCCTGGAGTTGTTGCTCTAAAGTGCGCGGTGCAGCCTCTTTACAAAACATCTGTCCACTTCCAAGACCACTTGCCAACTGACTGGCCCTCTGAAAAAAAAACAAGTCATAATCCATAAAAAAAAAAAAAAGTATCAGTTCAGTCATGAAACTATAGATTGCACAGTTCTTTACATGCTAACAATCACATTATTTACTACATGACACAAGTTGATTGGCCTCTGCTGATTCTGCAGCCAATAGTAAGCTAGTCCTGCAGCACGCTATCAGAGTTCCTCTGAAACCCTCCACCTCCCCCAGCTCCACCTGTCTAGATCTGCTATGGGATTTATGTTTGCCTATTCATGTAGCAGCATATCTTACTTGCCCACAGCATCATGTCTGTGTATCTATTGGCAACAGCAAGTCCATATTTGCTCTGCAGCAGCAGGAGGCATAGCAGATCTAGTTCACCAGTTGTCAAAACTTTCTTTTTTTTGAATGTTTTATGAAGATAACTGCCAACATAATGCCAACGGCTCAGATTTCCAGAACTAAACCAGCATAAACTAAACTGTACTAGCACATAAAGTCGCGCTGGTTTTAGATCAGATTTTCAGTAGGGATTAGAAATTAATATTAGGGCTGTAGCTATCGATTATTTTAGTAATCGAGTATTCTACAGTCCAGTACTTTTTTTACAGTCTGTGGTCCAGCGTTTATCGGGTTTTGCGTCAGTAATAATGGTCCGTGGGGAAACACGGTGTTCCGTGTGTAGTTACAGTAAATGGACTAAACGAAGCCTCGATGCAAATAATTTGCCTCGATGATTTTTTGTATTCGAGTTACTCGAGGTATTCGAGGAATCGTTTCAGCCCTAATTAATATGTTATGTTGGCATAAATACTATTTTTAAATACTGTTTTGTGATATTTGGGTCAATGACACTTATTAGTATCATTATTTTGTTTGGTCTGGTTCTGTTTTTACTGTCAATTTCAATAATATATTAGAAATGTAATTAATACATGCAATGACTTGAGTACTCATCTTCTAAGATGGGGATGTCTTAGTTTCTGAATTAAAATTGAGGTGCATAAAGCCAATAATGTAAGGGTGATACAACTGTGCTGATTATCATAATGAAGAATTTTTTTTTAAAGAATTACATTTTTTAAAAGTCGTTGTAGAAGTAGTTTGGCAATCTTATACTATTATTTCTTAGAAAAACAACATTTTAACAAAACTCACAGCTTATTAATATTTGAAAAATGGTTGTCCTCATAATCAAAGTTATGTGATTTAACCAACAGGCAGAATAAAAAAAATAAAATAAAAAAAATAATAATAAAAATGTAATTTGGCTGTAAAATGTCATGTGGTGTGACTCCCCAAAAACAAAAACAACAACAGAAAAAAGGTAAAATACCCTTTATCTTGAAAAATCTATTTAAAACAATAACTTTATACATATATGTGTGATCACATATATTTATGTTATATGGAAAATATTACGTTTTACGTGATGGTTACACCAAGTAAACTTGAAAATGGTATAAAAGTTTTTTAAAACCATAAAAAAACAACATGAACACACGGTACATTTAAAAAAAATTGGCATATGTGATTTAAACCAGATTTGTAGAATTTTTACATTTTCTTTATTGTGTTCAATCTTGTATGTAATTAAGTATACCTGTAGTCGCTGAGCGAGGTACTGTGTCTCCAAACTCTGTCTCCTGGATAGCAGATAAGGGTGCATTTTACCAGTGAATGTTGACGTATCTTTTCCACTTAGACATTGGCGTCCTTCTCCCTAAAATTTTGAATTGTTTCATACCAGCATAAATCACAGAGAACTGCCATATTCTAAGTCTAACAATAAAAAGTTAAGACAAAAACACTCTTTTCAGTATTCTGCTACCTATTTTATTTCACATCCAAAGGCAACATACCCATGCATAAAATGTAAAAATAGAAAACAGAGAACAGCACAAATAGCTATCTGACCTGGTGGCTGAATGGGTGGTGAGGCTCTAGGAGCTCATGGGGACTGGTGGGTTTACCGCCTCCTCCACAATCTCCTAACACTATCTGGGCTTTGTTCAGCTCCAGGAAACCCTTGGTTCTGGCCAGGTTCTGGAGGTGCTGCCTGAATGCCACTAAACCTGTTGGGTTCAATAAATGCAACAGACTTTAGAGTCAGATGAACTGGTGGAGATATTTCTGTGACTGCTGCAGGGGTGGTCTGACTCATAGTCTTGACTACTGCTATAATTAGTACAGGAGTGAATCACTGCGATTATTTACAGCTTTGAAAAGTAGTCATTATTCATAGAAGGTCAGATATCATTCAGAATGAGGGTTATTTTATCTGCTAACAATAAATCTTCCAAAACACTGATTATGACATGCAAATACATGCCTGCAAGTGACTAAAACAGTGGTCACGCTAGGTTTTGTGCTCCATTCACATACATGGGAGAATGGATACGGTAGCAGATTTTGTCTTTTGTAGCACATTATACTATAGGGCTGTTGAATGTTTGAATCTGATTGGTTGATGAATGTTCTAAGGTGTGTAATTATTTTTAAGGTAACACGCGACTAAATTAGTTCCAGGCAGGTCACATTACATGTCCGTATGGCTTCAGCAAATGATTTCAGTTATATTAAAGTTCCTTTCAGCCTACAACAGCAAAAGAACCAAAACCCACAAGGACACTGACGAAGCAAATGAATATAGTAAATAATACGCTAAAAATGACTAATTATTTCCATGTTTTTGCCACAAAATACTATTTTATTATGTACGGAAAGCACATACTCCCACTTTCTCTCCCTTACAAACGCACACACAAACTGTACAGACAAATAACTCACAAAAAACATGTTTTTAGCTCTGCTCTGGCGATTTTATTAGTAAAACATTTTAGCACTTTAAAAGCTACACGACGTATCTCACTAGAGAGGTAATAACGGCACTGTTGTTGAAGCAGATAAACTTATAGCTTTTAGTAGAGATGAGCTGCATAAGAAATTAGTTCTACACACAAGAGCGTTTTAAGGACAAAAACCCGACGAGCGTCTTAAAATACAACATCTGAGCAATGTCTTGATGTGTGGTAACGATAGTACAAGCAGAATAATTGACTCCAGTCCATTTAATAATTAGAAAATAATACACACCTAATACATTTCTATAGTGAAAAGACATTTGACTAATACACGGTCTGCATTTAACAGAATAACCTCAGTGTAATAACTGTATATGTCACTTTTTGCCAAAGAAATTGGTACAAAAAAGGTTCACTAAAAATTTACAATTACACATTGAACTAAATATGATTTTTTAAAGAATAAATACTTAAACAGTATTTTCATATTAACCATACTCCAATGTGTTTCTTTACTTAAAAAAAGAAGTATAATTTAGAATACTTAAAAAAAAGAGTACTTATCATGGAAATAATATACTTTAAAAGGATATACTTACGTGCGAACTAAATGTAATGTTTTGGACATTAAACTACATGTTAACTGCAATTTAATTAAATATGAATTATAGTTTAAATTTTATATGAAATGCAATAAGTTAAACTTAAGAGTGTTGCACTGTACGCGCAAATTCAAAGCGTCGCGTCTGGGCGCATCAACGGTGCTCACGCTTTTTTAAACTCGTAATAAAGCGGTGAATGATCTTTCCAGAAATGACGCTGATCGACAGAACAAGTTCATATTTAGAATAAATTGCAATCACTCTAAAATAGATGACGACAACTCACACACCTGAATTAGGAGCTGTACTTCTTTGCGTGCCTATTTAGCCGTTTGCATCGCATAGTTCACAGCACCTGAAAGATGCGTTCCTTACGCAAACATTCAGAAGGCGGGACCCGCTTTGAAACCGCAACATTAATTGGTTTAATTGCAGATGAGTGACAATTCAACTATATCCAATGAATAGAGGCTAGAATTCGCTGCCTGTCTTGACTGGTGGACTAGCATATAGGGGATGCTACGGATATGGAGGCCCCTCCCCAAAGCCCGAGGCCATCGCCTGCTCTGCCTATAGCTAGCTGCCACCCCGACACAAAGTTTGAGAGAAAAGTGATTGATGAAAAACTAAAATAACAAATGACGTGTACAAGAAAACTCAAATCATCCTGACCTTGAGTGAGAGACGTGTCTGAAGCCCTTCGCCCCTCTCTGAAACTGACTAGTGAGTGATTATGAGAGCTCTGCCCCTCCGTGTTGAGCGGCTGAAGGGTGGGCTCAGGGGGCTTCATGCCCAGGAAGACTGGAGCTGTGGGGCTGGCAGGTGTAGTGCTTAATACATCCTTTAGAGCTGGATTCTCTTCAGGCAAACTGAAATCACTTTGAGTTGAACCCATGCTGTACTCTGAGTCCATGCTGCCGAGGGATGGGTTCAGACCTGCAGAGAGGAGCTTTTGTTGAACTGAAGTTCACTCAAGAATATGGATGTAACCGTACTTACTCGGTATCCAAAAACTAACACCAAAACTCAAATGGAAGTTAAAACGGAGTTGGGTGAATACATAAATCTTACTAACCGAGAACTTTCAGAACTGCAACATTATGCATGGTTTACCTTACAAAGTAAAACATTAATCCAAGCCTTGCTGAACACATTCTAGTCCAGACATAAACATAAACAAAATTCTCTGAATATGCACCTTGCCATACTGACTGCATTGGTTTTTAATCAATGTATGAATTAAGCTTTTATATCTTTTTCTTTCTTTTTTCATTTTTATGTCTTTAGGATATTTTAGCAATGCACTTTTTTATTCTCTTTATTATGTAAAGCACTTTGAATTCCCATTGTTAAGGAAATGTGCTTTATAAATGAACTTGACAAAATCAGTCACAAACTGTCTACAAAAAAAAAGCTGGCTGTTAATGTCAGTGGGAAAAATTACTGTAAGCAGTTTAGCTAGGATGCCAAGTTGTGAAATATTCCTCACAAAAAATATAAATACAGATGATCATGTGTTTGAATCCATTTATACTGCATATTGTTTTTATTTTTTATTTTAAACAGAAATGGAAATTTAATAGATTTAAATTTTTATTTGAATGTTCTATTTCAAACAAATGCTGTTATTCTGAACCTTCTATTTATCAGAGAATCCAAAGAATAGTTTTTGCACAAAAAAAAATATACAGCACAATTGTGTTAACTGATAACAATAAGAAATGTTTCTTGAGCAGCAAATCAGCATATTACAATGATTTCTGAACGATCATGTGACACTGATCAAAATTCAGCTTTGCAATCAAAGGAATAAATCACATTTTATAATATATAATAAAATAGAAAATAGTTATTTTGAATTGAATTAATTTTACAGTATTTACTGTATTTTTAACTAATTTTTGATTCTGTATATTGATCAAATAAATGCAGTCTTGGTGAGCATAACAGACTTTCAAAGAAATTCAAAAATCTTACAGACCTCAAACTTTAAATGGTAATATATCATTAAGACATTATATATTAATATTGAAGCCTCTTAAATACTATAATTGCCTGCCCTCATCACACACATGAAATGCAGTACTAACCTGTAATGGGCAGCACAGCAGGTTGGTTGGTGACCTCAGACAGTGTATGCCGGCGCTGACTGAAGCGAGCTGTACGAAAGGTGGCGAGGGGCACAGCATGCTCTTCCTCTGCCTCAATGCCCTCATCAATGGACGTCTCCATAATGTTGCTAGGCAGCGAGCCACTGCCTTTCCGGACAACGACTGGAGGAAGCGGGTCCAGTAAGCAGCCATCCACCTGAGATATAAATACACACACACCGTTTGCAAAACTATTTTGGGCTGAAACAGCTCAGCAGTCGTTGGGACATTTTCACTTTGCTGTTTCCAGAACTGACAAGGGAAATCAAAGCCGAAACTCAATGGATTTAACTACTAGTTATTCCCAAAGAGGCAAACAAGAATGCTTTGAAATGTGTATATAATGTGCATATATATATATATATATATATATATATATATATATAATAGTAAAGATTATCAGTAAATAACAATTTAAGGTTGACATGAAATGCAAGTTATAAATCTTATTGTGAACTTGTCTAACTCAGTCTGATATAATCACATCACTATTCACATGTCGCAGCTGATAGGTTTCTTTTCACATCAGCAGCCAATGAGCTTGCTGGTCAACATTCAAATACTTGGCTAGTGCTTGCTGTAGCAGCTGCAGCGCGCTTCAGAAACCCTCCACCTTCCCCAGCTCCACCTGTATAGATCTGCTATGGGGTAATTCATGTTTGTTATATATGGGGGTTATTTCATATGATGTTATTTCATGTTTTATGTGCAGCAGCAGTATTTCCTACTAGCTCACAGCAGCATGTCTGTAGAGGTATTGACAGTAGCAAGTCTCTGTACTTGCTTTGCCGCAGCAGCAGCAGCATAGCACATCTGTTTTGTCAAGACCAAACACATTAACATTGCCATGTATACTACCATGCTAAATTCCCAGAGAGTGATCATGACAGAAACACAATATATTTGTAGAGCAAATATATATCAGTAATTCTATTCTACCTTCTCTTTTCTCTTTCATATAACATTGATACTCTTTTCTGTTACATTCTAATACAATAAAAGTGTTTAATTGGCATGAAGAACCGTTAACATCCATGGAAACTTTCCAGTGCACAAAAGAATCTTTTAGATTACTTGTTCTTAAATGTACTGTACAGTACAGTACAAGAAAAAAACATGCTTCTTTTAAGAACTGTTCTCTAAAAGGTTGTTTTGGGAACCAAAATGTATTTTTTTTTTCGAAAGGCATCAGTGCAAAAACACCCTCTTTGTAATCTTTGTTTTTAAGAGTGTAGACAATGTCATCGGTTTCATTTATGAGAAATTATGTAATGTTGCTCTGCTAAATGTCCACAGGCAACCAGCAGCTTTCCTGAATTACAATAAGCCAGCTGATATGAGTTTGTGAGAGCGTGACCTCAACGTGTTTGAAGAGATCCCTAGATTGCCATCTGTTCAGCTCCACAGGCGCTGAGGCTAAACGAATGACTTATCATGCGTCTCTTTCTTCATAAACAAACATTTACATCTATTCATTTGGCAGACAGTTTAACAACAACTCACAGTCCATTTAAGGACTACTTTTATAAGTGTGTTTGTTTCCTTGGAATTAAGCTCTTGACCTTGGTATTGCAAGCACCAACTGAACAGAAAAAAACCTGTTGGAGGGCAAATTGGTATGTATACGGCAGAGTCCCCACAGGATGAGTCAACGCTGCACGTCAATTAAAGAACAGTAGCTATGGAGATTGCCTTGCGACAGCCAAGGTAACAAATGTTGTAGTCACGCTTTTCACAAGTGGAGAGAACACCCAGCACTGATCACATGGGTGGCCCATCACTGGCACATCAGGGGCATTTACAAACAGAGCCGTGCTGTTGTGCAACAACAGGCAGAAAACCTGACATGCTGGCGTTACTGTAACAACAGGCTGCAAATAACAGGACGTGCAAATGAAATGCAGGTTATGTTTCCCTATGATCAACATGGGTGAGCAGCATGATCAATCTTTTATATCATGGTATGTGTATATGGCATAATAGTTAATTTTGCTGGAAATTTGTTGAAAAATGGTTTATATTTTGATAAAAATTAATACAAATATTTTGGACAATGCAGTGAATATATTTTAAAGACAAGTACTTTGTCTCATTTAATAAAAATAGTTTATATCTTAAATAATCATAATAACAATAGTTAAATAATAGTAATATTTCAGACAATGCAGTGAAAATTTGTTTTTAAAAGACAAGTGCTTCATCTCTGATTAAAAATTGTTTATAATAGTAGTTTATATTATTATTACTATTATTAACAGCTTATATATGAATATATATGAAATGACTAAATATATGAAATAATCATTAATAACAACAATAATGATAATATATAATAATTTTAAACAATGCAATGAATTCATTAAAAAGTACTTTATCTAATTTGACTAATTTTTTTGGAACAAAAAAGGTGATTATACAAAAAAGTCTGACATTTGTGCAATAACAACATCACATTATGACTTAAAAACAAAACGAAAAATTACATTATATTATATTATATTACAATTAATAATGTATTAATAACTAAATCAATGAATTAAAATATAATTAAGAGATATTATAAAAAAAGCCAACAGGCTTTGTTACGTCAAAGCCATAAAGGTTGATTTGCTACATTGTATCAGCTGATATTAGGAGGAGGGATATTCTCATTCTAGAGAGAATTTGATTGGACAAATATCTGTGTAATGCAACGTAGTTTTCGCATTTCTCCATTGCTCATAAGCATAAAGCACTCTGACAGCCACACAAACTAGCTACCACTACCATGGTACAGCAAAATCTCTGCCGGTTGACATATTCCCGGTGTCATGCAGTGCATACTGTCATATCGCCCAGTCCCAGATATATAAATTCCCTAGTCTCTGTCTGAGTCATTAATTTATGAATGAGTAGCAATAAGTGCTTGAGATACCTACACTGACGCAAAGCAGCAATGGTGACACCAACCACTGAAATCATAAAAAGCGTTTTTTAGTATTTAATATATACGCAGGTGTTATTTTAGGAGGCTGAAGTGCTGCTGAGATACTGCGGGTGAGTAATGAGGAAGAGATCAGGCTGACACGCAGGCAGAGGAACTTCACACGCTGCAGACAAAAGCTCTTATTGCCGTCATACAGCAGCGCCAATGAGTAACGCTGCTATTTAAAACGCAGGCAGAGCTTATGAAATATAGCCTCAAGCCCGAAAAGAGGATGAGAGATTTCTCTGTGCCATACGAATCTATTTAATTACCTTTTTTTGCTCTTTGTTTTGCCGCTCACTTCATCTGAAACATAACTGACCTTGGGAGTGGCCACGTCTTCCTCCATGAGCGTCTGATCTGGGGAAGCAGGGGTTTGTGGGAAGGTAAATGTGTCTGTAGTGGACTGCAACAGAACAGGCGAACGCAGGTGATGCGCTGCCTGCGGCGGGACGCCCGCTTGAGAAGGAACCGCGATGGTCTGTAACAAGAACATGAAGGCATATACCAATAAGTCCAATGGTAATATCATGGAATTGCAGCTGTCTTGGTTGTACCTTGGTACAATGTAACTGTTTTTCCAAGTTCATATAGTCACAGTCATGTCCCATGGTATTACCCATCTGATACTGCATGAATATGTTGATGAATCCATAAAAAAGGATCATGAAAGGTGATCATAAAGAAGGATGGCTGGATTACAGATTTTGTTCCTCATGATTCCAATATTTACATTTTTATACCAACGCCATTTCAATATGTCTGGGTAGACTTCACAGATGGGGTTACCTTGACAACAGTCTGCTCAGCGACGTTGCTAGGGCGGCGCTGGTTGGCGTGCAAACGCTGTTCCACAGGGAAACTGCTGCGATGCGCTTTCAATCGCTCCACAAGCAGGTAGTAGATCGCAGCAAAGTGGTTATAGCTTTTGTTCTGAAGAGACTGTGACAGGAAAAGAAGAGTTTTTGAAGAACAAGGCAGACAAGGAAAGAGAACACTGGCAAATGTCAAATTTCTATCAGTACGTTTTGTAAATATTCTGAAAGGCTGTTCTTTGGAATAATCGAATTTGCAAATCAGAGGAGAAATTATTTTTGGAAATCCAAAGCCCAAACCATTACTAGAGTTCGGAATTGAAGAACTGGCTCATGAGTATGATTAACACAAGTTTTGTGACAAAACAAAACTTGACAAAAAAAAAGAAAAAAGCAATACTATTGTTTTGGACTAATTATAAATGTTTATTGCCCTCTCTTTTTTTTTTTTTTACAAAAAGGTGTAAATACTGTCCAAAATAACACTTAAAACATATACATATAGCTTTACATTTAGTCATTTAGCAGACGCTTTTATCCAAAGTGACTTACAAATGAGGACAACAGAAGCAATCAAAACCAAAGAAAGAGCAATAATATGTAAGTGCTGTGACAATTCTGTTTGTCTAATGCAGTATATGTAGCAAGGTTTTTTTTATAATAAAAAAAAACAAGTAGAAAGAATAGAAAAAGAAGAGAGAATGCTAGTGTTAGAAGGTCATTTTTATAATAAAAATAAAACAAGTAGATAGAATAGAAAAAGAATAGAGTGTGTATTAGTGCAATTAGTGTTTGTATACAGTATATAGCTATATATATATATATATATATATATATACATATATACACACACACACACACACACACACATACTTGCTTACATTCTAATTTTAATTACAGTTCTACATCCTGTTTGCAACCTTAATTCAAATTCAGTTTAGATGCAAGAACTGAACTGGAATTTAAGCACATTCTAAATCCTGGTCAAGTAAAAGCTGATCAACTGACCTCAATAGTCTTCTGCTGGTCGATGCCCAGGCTGTGCATGAGTCGGAGCACCTGCTCACTGTATTCACCCAAGCCTGATTTGCTCTCACATGGCAGACCCTGTCTATACAGCATGGGCCGCTGGGACGGGACCTCCTGCACCATCCAGCGATGCTCTTTGATCTGACTCAGGGACAAACGCTTGGCTGGATCTAGAACCAACATCTTCCTGATCAGGTGCTCGCAGTCTGAAAGAGGATATAGGGAATGCAATGAGCTCAAAAGACATTTCCTTCTGAAACTTCACAGAGTAACTATTATCACTATTTCTCAAAATCCGATTACATACATGTAACCCCTGGCACTGTTCACTGTTTATTTATGACAACTTAAAGGATGCATGAACAGTCATATTATAATTGTGTTACTTTGACTTCCTCACCCTCACTCATGAAGTAGGGGATGCGGAAACGGCCCTCCAGGACCCTCTGTCTGAGGACAGGAAGGCTAGGACCATCGAATGGAAGAGCACCACACACTAAGACGTACAAAACCACCCCCATACTCTGCATGACACACACATACACAGAAAATCAATACACAAACATCAAACTCTGCCTAGGAACTAGCATAAAGGACCACCCACACACGATACAGGAAATGATAATTATGTTTTCAATCAATCGAATTACCATTCGTCATTGACGCAATTCTCTGTTCTGACTATACTGAGAGGACATAAATCAACAAATGGCAAGAATTTGGTCAGCTGCCTACAGTACATATTAGTTTAATGCCATGAGGTCATATCATGCTTTTGTGAACATAGTTTCATTGTAATACCATGGTTTTGTGGACATGTACCACAATAATTCCATGTTATTCCATGTTATTCTTTGGAGAATCATATCAAGTCCAATTATTTGTATAGCGCTTTTCAGAATACACATTGTTGCAAAGCAGCTTCACAGATCTATCCATCCATCCATCTGTGTGTTTTCCAATTTTATAATACAGTTTACATTTTACTGTAACAACGTAAATACCATTGTATATGAAAATGGTATTTAAAAATAGTATTGTACTAGCACAATACAAGTAGTATGGTATCTGTAAAATATTACTATAATATTGCCATCTGATACAGTCCAAGCTTACCCAGATGTCCAGTTGCGGACCCTCATACTGTTGTCCCTCAAACACCTCTGGAGCCGCATACGGGGGGCTCCCACACCAAGTGGTCAGGGGTTCCCCAGGACGGAAGAAGTTTCCAAAGCCAAAATCTGCAGCAGATTTGAATAAAAAGTTAATGTCAGCACTCACATTAGCACATTAGCACATATACATCCTGCTTGGCATTTGCAAGATTTTGTGGGCAAAAAAAGGTCCGTTTTCTTTACATTTCCTTGAGAAAAACTGAGTGGCTCTTTCCCGTGCATGGGCTGCTCTGGGGTGTGTTTGCCCTACAAAGACAATAACTCGCTGCTTAATCACTGTACAATGCATCATTACAGAAATGAACAAGTCTAGCTACTAATGACTGTTTTCCAAAACTAACATGGTTGCACTTCTGTTGTTTGAACCATGTTTATTCACCAATATAGGACTGTTGTTAATGACATCACACACAGGTGAAGTAATAACTTCTTATCTCAATAGATTAAAGACTGCAATTAATATCAGATTATCATGAACAACAGAAAGGTGTTAATTTTTTCTAAATCACTATAACATGGTTTATTTAGTAAGCACATTTCTAAACAACATAATTTTTCTGAGATGCTGCTGTATTGAACATGACATCTGAGGACTACTTCACTATTTTTGTTCCCCATCGTGTTGCTTTTTTTGATGTTTGATTCATTGCAGCTTCCCTCTCACGCCATACTCCAGAGTTCCCTTACACATTTATGCACATGCGCACTCTTCAAAAATGTGCTGATCAATGTAAGTCAAAAGCATGATGTATGTAAGTCTATGCAAGTTTTACAAACAACAAACTATGCTTCTAATAGTTGTTCCAACCACACACATTTGAGAATGTGGTTTCAGGAAACACCGGATCATGGAACTATATTGCTGATGGAACTTGCGACCATAGTTGGCTAATGATGCTTTTGGTAAATGAACCATTGGTTGGTCTGGAATGAGTTATGCAACAAAATTTAATACTTGGGGTTAGGGGATTCTTCAAATCCCTAGTGTTTAGCAATTAATAGTGTCATGCATCCAATATCTAAGCTAATTAATTTTAATCTGACAGATCTGGTCACTGGTGCAAACGAATATATGACACAAGTAATTGAACATAAACTGTCCAGATGGCTAAATAGATTCCTGGCTGTGTCAGCTCGCAGGCAAAAAAAAAAATCTTTAGTGAATCAGCAACAGGACGAAATGAATGTGATGTGACAGGACTGGATGGTGTGACGGCGCTGAAGCAGGTGGTACTCACTGATTCTGGGAGGGTCTGCGTCTACTCATACACAACCAGTGGTGACACATTTCCCCTGATCTTTACTCTTGGCAGATAATGGACAGGTTGAATTGTGTAATGTAATCCATATAATTGAAAGATTAATTGATGTACATCACCACTGATTGATGTAAATTAACGATTGCATGGGGGCGGGAAGAATTAACTCATAGGCCGTCTGCTGTGAGGGCGAACATAAAACAGGATATTGTGTTTTATATCCATGAGCACGTAATACAGGAATCCTATTCTAAAAGTAAAAACAATAAAAACCTTGATTAGTCTGAGACTGATTAAACTGTGTAACATATTTTCTAGAAAATAAGTCACACTGGGTCATGATTACATTGTAGAGAGAAAAAACAAACACAGAAAAGTTGCATCTTTGTATATGACATTTTATTATTACATTCAGTATGTAAAAACAGTAAATAAAACATTTACAAACTTTAGAAACTAAAAGTATTTTAGTTTCCCTCACTCCACAACAAATCTTTTAAAATTTACGTTATTTAGAACAAGAATGAAAAATATAAGTATAAAACAAACATAAATTAAAGTGGAATTCATTATAAATGACGTTTATTATAAACGCCAAGCATAAAAAAAAAAAGCTACCGATGTGTGGGAAATGTGTTGTACACAGGTTCACTTACTTCTCTCATTTAGCACAAATTCAAATGTGCGTGCTTTGCGCATGTTTTGCGTGTTTGATATTAATATATAAGTCACAGTGTGTTGAAAAAAAAAACATGACAAATATGGTAGTCATGAAGCAAAATTCCTTTAAGGCAAGTTAGTTAGTTTGTTTGTTTGTTTATTATTTGTATAGCACATTTAAAAGCAACTCATGTTGACCAAAGTGCTTTCCAATAAAACAACATATAACCAAAACTAAAACAACAAGAACATAAAAACGACACGACATAAACAAACAAGACCATCAGATATACACCAACTATCTCACATCAAATGCCCGGGCAAGTAAGTGCCCTCTTAAAAGTGTTTTAAAATGACCTAGTGATGTGTCTAATTTAACAATAACAATCTAATTGTTGTGTTCTGTAGTTCCCTCGTGGCCATCTTGGTGTCGCCCCCAGGCAGCCATTTTCTATGTAGGTAATAGTAACGTGAGGGGAGAAACTGAGATTTTCGAAACTCAAATTAGTTGCTTTGCACAATGATTCACTGTTTCGAAGTGCTGAAACACCACATGCTGGCATCACCTGCTGGTCAAAATGGTGCATAAATCACCTTTTTAAAACCAACTGCAAATGTTTTTTTTCTTCTGAAAGTATAGGGCTAATCTATTAAATGCAATCTACAAATCATAAAATATTATTAAACAAGAAGTGTCTGTATAATATGTGTTCTTTTATGAACTTATAGGGCTTGTTTTGTGTGTTTTATGGAGGGCTCGGCTAACCAGGCCAATAAGGGAAATTTACCTATGACTCTTCTTGTTATATTATACAAATGCCAAGTTCTGCCATGAAACTCTAGATGGCACAGGCTGATGGGTTGGTAATGCAAATTGATGATATTCACAGCGTTAAACTACTTGGCACAAACTGATTGGTTCATGTTGCATAAGCAGCCAATGAGCTTGCTGCTTTACATTTAAATATCTGTTTAGCATTCATTAGAGCAGTTTGCAGCGTGCTTTCAGAGTTCCTTTGAAACCCTCCACCTTCCCCAGCTCCACCTGTATAGATCTGCTACAGGTTATTACATATGCTATTTGTGCAGCAGCAGTATGTCTTAAATACTCACAGCACCGTATTAGCATATGTATTGGCAGTAGCAAGTTCCTGTACTTGCTTCGCAGCAGCAATAATTTACAACAACAGCAATAACCATCAGCAGCAGCAGCGTAGCAGATCTATTCCACCTAGTGCTGGGCGGTATACCGGTTCATACCGAATACCGGTGTTTATTTTTGTTATGATATGAATTTTTAAAATACTGCAATACCGGTGCATGTCGTTAAAACAACGTTCGGAACGCGACACTGTTTGAAAGGGGTCCCTTTTCACTGTCGCACTATGGTGAGGGAACAGCTGTATGTGTTACTAAGCGTGAAAGTTCCGAAACTGAAGCTGTAGAACTAATAGAACGTGATGACACAACTCAGGGCGGGTCTAAGGTAAGACACCAGTCCAGTCTGTGCTGAAACGCTACTGTCAATCAAACTATCGTGGGAGGGGCCTGTCTGTGTGACGTCACACAGACAGTCATCTGTGATCGGCTCGATTTGAGAAAGGGGAAAACATTTAACCAGATAAAAAAAAAAACACTGGGTGGATTTTTATCATTATAGGGTGGTTGAGTACACACACTGCCAACACACATTTAAGTTCAAACAACTTGTAAATGTGCATGTAGCATCCGATAACCCCTTTAATAAATTAGTGTTTAGAAAATGCGCATCACTAATAGCGAAATTTCCAAAACTATCTGTTGAAATTACATTTCAATTGACCCTTTGCAAAGACCCGCCCCCCTTTGTTACTGTTGTGATGTCCGACAAGCCATGCCACTCTTACACCACACATCATGTTCTCACGCAGTGAAAAATACATTGTGGAGCAAAGAGAAAACTGACAACGCACCGATAGACAACACAGAGCAGGTTACTTTACGTATGAAATTTTGTGATTTTTTTTAAAGAAATTCAAACAATAAATACTGTTTTGTGGCTCTTAAATGTATCGTGACAGATCGCTGTAGCAGCATGTGAACTGATCATCTCTTCCTCTTCACTAGTTACAGCAGATTCAACCGCAGAAAGACGTCAATACACACAATTTTTCAAGTTCAAGTCCACCAACGTTAATCTACTCTCCTGTCTGGTTTGTTTGTTGCACAAAAATGACAGATTGATTGGTATGATTGATTGATTGATTGGTTGGACGATATGATTGGTCAGATCGCCTGTCAATCAAACTCAATTACAATAGCAATAAAATCTGACAATCATGGTATCATAAATGTTGGTGCTTTACAGTAGCTCAAATTCAGGCTGTCTTCAATGATTTGCAGCCAACACTGCTATAACTAAGGTGATATATTTATTTTTAAGAGAAGATTAATAATATTTATTATTAATAATTACATAGTGAATAAATTCAGACTTTTTCAGTTTTCTATTTTTCAAGAGCAACAGGCCCCAGAAATCTCAATCTCAAATTTTTGCCAAGATAGCAAAGTCTCCAATAAAAAGTCGGGTTTTGATATGAACTACAGTGCTGTGAAAAGTTTTTTGCCCCCTTCCTGTTTTATTTTATTTTTTTGCATATTTGTCAAACTTAAAAGATTCAGTTCAAACTAATTGTAATATTACACAAAGATAACCGGAGTAAATACAAAATGCACTTTTGAAATAATGATTTAATTTATTAAGGGAAAAAGCTGTCCAAACCTGCCTGGCCCTACGTGAAAAAGTAATTGCCCCCTAAATCTAATAACTGGTTGTGCCATCCTTTGCAGCAACAACTGCAATCAGATGTTTGCGATAACTGGCAATGAGTCTTTCACATCGCTGTGGAGGAATTTTGGCCCACTCTTCTTTGCGGAATTGTTTTAATTCAGCCACATTAGAGGGTTTTCGAGCACGAATAGAGTGTTTAAGGTCATGCCACAGCATCTCAATCGGATTTAAGTCCGGACTTTGACTTGGCCACTCCAAAACCTTAATTTAGTTTTTCTTGAGCCATTCAGAGGTGGACTTGCTGGTATGTAACTCAGCTTTCTAAAATAATGTGGTTAATCACAGTTCTTTCATGATTTAACAGGAGGGGGCAATTAATTTTTCACGTAGGGCCAGGTATGTTTGCACAGCTTTTTTCCTTTAATAAATGAAATCATCATTTAAAAACTGCATTTTGTATTTACTTTACATGTTGTAATTTACTACACATTATCTTTGTGTAATATTAAAATGTGTTTGATGATCTGAAACTTTTAAGTGTGACAAATATGCAAAAAAAAAAAAAAAAACAGGAAGGGGGCAAAAACCTTTTCACGCCACTGTATATGAGGTTTCTCATTAACTTCTTCCCGGACCAAATGATCTGAGCTATGTTACTTACATTCATTTTATAGTTCTACTCTTACTCTAGTCAATGATTGTCTCAGTTTAACTGTTGGAGGGACATCAGAGAAGAAGTTACAACAATGAAACATAACTGTGAACTCTAGCAACATCTGCAGTCAAATTTCCCACTGAAAACACTTTTAGAAATAACTGAAAGATGGAGGTGTGTTTTTAAAAGCCTCTACTGTGATGGCAAGCGCCTCACATCTGTTATCTGTGTGCATGAGTGACACAATGGCAACGCCCTATAATGCATTTTCAGTGTCTCTCTTTCAGCTTGGTATGACATAAATACAGACAAATGGTCTGGCACAAGGCTCCGTTCTCTGCAGTGACTGGTACTTATAGAGCACAGCATGTTAGAAGCCTCTCTGTCATCCTCCATCCCTCCAGAGTCTTTTGTACCGCAGTCATTACTTTACATCAAACCCCTATGATTACATGCTTGAAAAGGACAAAACAAACTTGACTGTTTGCATCGCAAGATGTCTAGATAACATCTGGGAATTTAGGTCAGATCAGGTGAAGGTATTTCTGCATTTTGTCAATCTGTTACACATGAATGAATCTGATAATGTTGTCAAACAGTATGTCTTTTTTTTTTAATGGATGATGATGATATCCATAGCAAGGTGGCTTATTGCAGATGTAATACCAATAATTTATCTAAATATAAATTCATACTGGTAAACAAATGTCCATTTTTCTTTGGACATCTCAAGTCTGTCAGCAGGTTTTAGAGGTCACACTTTTGTCAGTTGGTCAAGCATTCATGGTTAATGGGTGATAAATATAATTAAATGGCTAACTATTGGCAATTTAATCATTTGGTTGATATACTGTATATCTTTCACTCTTTCACTCAGATACTCAAAACAACTAATAGTAATCACAAAACAATTATGTAACATAATAGATTTATTTCCCAAGGCAAGTTCACCATTGGCTTGCAGCATACAAACGATTACGTGAACAGTGTGCTGGATGAACTGCATGAGTTCATTCTAACTTAGGTGTACGTCTGTGTTTGAGGAATGAACTGTGCAACTAAAATGAACTGATGTCACTGAGTAAATATGCATTTTCCTGCTAGACTTTGGCTACTGTGAGAAAAAGGTCTGATTTGACTTCTGGAATGTACAAGAGCCAGTGAGGAAAGGGCAATGACAACTTTTATACTTCGATAAAGCATAAAATTTGATGTAACTACATAAAATTTTAAGCACAAATGATATAAAGGTGAAAGCATAAAATTAAAAGTCTATTTAATTAACATGTCACATGGCTATCGTGGTTATTATAACTAAAACTTGCGTAAAAAAGTTAAATGAAATAATAATAATAAAATATAAAAAATGTTTAACTTATTTTTATTTCAGCTACTTGCCAAGAAAACATTTATCATTTTCACTTAGTTTACCTTGATGTAATAAAATAAGTATACAACTAAAACTGAAATAAACATTAATAAAAACTATACAGACATTAAAATACAAAACAAAAAATTTAACACTTTACAATGAGGGTCCATTAGTTAATGTCAGTTAATGCATTGACTAATATTAACTAACAATGAGAAATACATTTGTTATGGTATTTATTAATCTTTGTTCACGTTAATGAATAAAAATACAACTGTTCATTGTTTGTTTATGTTAGCCACATTCTATAATGTAATTAAAAAATATTAACAAAAGCTATAATATTTCAATTATACTAAAATAACATGAAATGATGAGGTACAGTATACAGTATATACACTACCGGTCAAAAGTTTGGGATCAGTAAGACTTGTAATGTTTTTAAAGAAGTCTCTCATGCTCATCAAGGCTGCATTTACTTGATCAAAAATACAGAAAAAAACCCAGTAATCTTGCAAAATGTTATTACAATATAAAATAATGGTTTCTATTTTAATATCCTTTAAAATATAATTTATTTCAGTGATGCAAAGCTGAGTTTCCATCAGCCATTACTCCAGTATAAAGTGTCACATGATCCTTAAGAAATCATTCTAATATGCTGACTTATTATTAGAATTATCAATGTTGGCAACAGTTGTGCTGCCAAATATTTTTATTTTTTGGAAACTGCGATACTTTTTTCAGGATTCTTTGATGAATAAAAAGTTTAAAAGAACAGCATTTATTCAAAATATAAATATTTTCTAACAATATAAATCTCTGGTATCACTTCACACACACACACACACACACACAGAGACAGAGACAGAGATAATAGAATATAGATAGATAATAGATCAAACATCATTCTTTTTGCTCCAATCTAACTTTAGGCGAATTCTCAAGTTGGACTATTTGCTTAATCATTGCTAATGTTCTCCCTTGAAATTCAAGGTAAAAGTTCTATTTCTGTGCCACTAGCTGTTTCCTACCCAAACACTCCCACCTCACAGCTACTAAACAGCTTATTACAGATAGTCCCGCCCCAAACTCATGCTATTGGTTGAGCCATAAGTTGGCATTTCAGACTGCTCAAACAAATAGAGCAGTGTTTTGACAGAGCCACATAGCTTACATGCCTCTAGAAGTCAACAAATGACTTGCTTGGAGTTGTTGTTTCTGCATATTAAATTGGGACAGAGGAGAGAATTTTGACATCAAGATATTTAAAGCCTCTTGGTGTCACTGACACCTTCTTATAAGCTGTCTACTACAGCACCATGTTTTCGCTCAGCGTCCCCAGACTGTAAGAAGGAAAGGTACATCTCTTACCTGCTATCTTCATATTCATGTGAGCATCCAGTAACAAGTTCTCAGCCTTCAGGTCTCTGTGAACAATATTGCGTTCGTGGCAGTACTCCACCGCTGAGAGGATCTGCCAGAACTTCCTCCTCGCATCCATTTCGCTGAGCCGCCCGCGGCTGGCCAGGTAGTCTGTGTTGCCAGACAGGGATCAGGTGTTATTGGGTCGTCATCTGCACATCCAGGCAACATGTCACAGTCATGAATTTTTCATGAAAATGGTATGCAGATTGTGACAATGAGCAGGGAAACATATGTTTAACAGTGCTGCTCATAGACATCCTGATTAAATACTACGTTGGACAATGTTGTCAATATAAAAAAGCAAACAAAATCTGTTGAACATGGTTTATTTATTTCCATTTGAAGAAAAAGTTTATATTTTACAAGTTTGTAGATGTACAGTACTGTTAAAAAGTTTAGGGTTGGTAAGATTTATTAATGTTTTTGTGGAAACTGTGACAGTTTCTGAAATATAAATTTTTAGTTTTATTAGATTTTATGAAAAAAATATACTCATCACAGAAGAAGTCTATTCAAGTCAATGTAGATATTGAATTGCATTTTTAATGTATTTTTTTTAAAGGGGTCATATGATGCTGCTAAAAAGAACATTATTTTGTGTATTTGGTGTAATGAAATGTGTTTATGCGGTTTAAAGTTTAAAAAACACATTATTTTCCACATACCGTACATTATTGTTTCTCCTCTATGCCCCGCCTTTTTGAAACGCGTCGATTTTTACAAAGCTCATCGGTCTGAAAAGCGATGGATGACTCTGAACTTTTATAAAGAATATCTCTTTGGATTTGAGACTTTAGTCTTTGCAACTTTACAGATCTTCTTTATGCACCAAGAGCTTGTAACACTCCAAAGAGAAAGGAAAAATTGAAATCGCATCATATGACCCCTTTAATGAATTAATAAAACCAGACTATTTTTATTTCAATTTAACTTGTAGTAATTTCATCTGCTTTTGTCATTTTTGTTCTTTTTTCTAAACATTTCTATTTAGCCTGAATTTATTTTTATTTCAGTTTTAGTTTGAATAAATTTAGCACTTCAACTCATTTCAGTTAGTTGCCAAAACATTTCTTTTCTATTTTTCATATAATATTTGTGTATTATTTCATTGCAGCTTTATTTCAATTAACACAAACAATTTTGAATATTGTTTGTTTTAGTTGACAACACTGGTTCAGAAAGTGTTGTCTTCAAAGTTACAGTATGTTTTCTTAGTACATTGAGCTCTTTGATCTAAAAAGATAAAGGGAAATTTAATTCCTGAAGATAAGACTCTTTTAATATCACATTATTTTCTCATGTCCTCTTTCATACATACATAACAGGTGTTTGCTTAATACCTTTTGCCATGTCAGACTGATGTAAATATGCAACTACCAGCTTTTCATGAATTTCAAATCCAACAAAAACAACAAGCAAGCAGCATATATTCATGCTCTCCAAAAACGAAAGGCCAACCTGTCATCCACAGCCGACCACACATTCAAAACAGGACTGTCAGCCATGCCTACTTCAGATGCGAGCCGAGCGCTGATAAAACAGCAGTCCTCTGAGTTAATCAGCTGACAAGGCCATGGAGATGCCAGTTGCTCGTGTATGCATGTGTGCGCCATACGGCCCATGTGTTAGGGACATGTAGGAAACTTCAAAGGAAGCGCTGTACATGCGAATGCGAGGCAGTGTGAATGGGATGGTATGATATTGAGTTGACAGATGGCTTCACATCCCTATGGACTGACTATATGACAACGCGTCATTTGCACCCAGCAGGTAGTATAAGGAAACTGAACATCTAATCTGTATCATGATGACGTGTGAAATTTAGAACCTTCTTACAACAAAAATGGAACTTCTCTCCAAGATCCAGAATGGAGTGAAATATGAAAAAAAAAAGAAATTGGTGAGCAGATCTACCATTAACAAGCTTTAGAGATGTGAAAATATAGATATTCAAGTAAATAGGAGACTGACAAAAGTTCAAATAAAAAATCACAATCACTTTATTGGATGAATCAGTTCATCTCTACACACAAACTATCAACAGCAGCAGATATAAAAGATCGACTGCAAGACACTCCATGTGGAGAAAAAGAACATGCTTGTAATTGAAGGTGGAACCAGTCTTGTGTTAAGAATTGGACAGCAGTTCTAAACTTCACTTTGTCATTGTCATAAATGAGTGACTAGGTAATTAGCTTCCAAATCAACTTCTAGTATAACTTGTGTGGAGACCAAAATGTTTAACTGCAACATTTATGCTTAATAAATAAAACTTAAGATCTTAAATCTTAGATCATGCAAAGTGCTAAATATCTAAATAAAAAAGCCAAAAATTGAGAAACCCAACCTTTTGGTTTTTAAATTGTATTGGCTTCTGTTGAACTTTATTCTTGTACATGGCACTACATTAAGCAGTACATGAACAACTGATTGAAAAGTTTCTGTTGCTTCATGAAAATGCCTGTAACAGCTGTGTATTTGACAAATATTGCATCTAATCCACTTCATCTGTGATAAAGTATATGCAACACAGTGCAAGCGTCACTATGTGAAAGAAGAAAGTGTCCAACTTCATGTCTTTGTTTTCAAAAAATCTTGTCGATCCGTTAAAGTCAGCTCAGTTAAGCACATGTATTTAAATAGTACTAAGTTGCACTGTTGTCACATGATCTTAGTATTTTTTATCACATGGCCTCAGCATTTTATGTAAAATATCTTGTGGCAGTCTGAAAAGAAGATGGTAAATTTACTTTTGGAAGCTCAGTGCATTGTGGGATACAACAGTGGTTCTCAACACTGTTTTGTCTAGGACATCAAGAGGCAATAGTACCAAATACAGTACCAAAAGTGTATTGCACAAAATTGTTTTTTTTATTTATTATGGTTTCATGCTCTCTAAGCCAATAATTCACCACACAAAACTCACTGTGCTCAGCACAAACACAAACCATGTTTATCTTCAATGCACCTCCATTTAATGCACTGCAGTCTGGATGGTAATTTCTTTTACTTTTGCATGTATTTTAAAAGGATGAGAGCATGATACACATGCTGATCATGTTTGATTGGATGCACATCCTTTAATGTCAACAACAATAGATATTGAAAACAGTTTCCCTATACTTGCAGTGAAAGTCAGATCATGTCTGTCTGTTGTTTTCAATATGCTTAAAGACAAACCATGTTCAGATTCATCAGTCCAAACATTTCTGAACATTTTCTGCATAAAACAGCATTGTACCAAAGACAGATGTAACCAATCACAAACATGTAACCAATCCTGTCATCTTGCGAGTTTGGGCTTTTCATATCATTAGCGTTTCTACCTATGGACACTTTATATTAGGTGATTAGGGAACACATATTCACTATTAACCCACAATAAACTCCTAATTTGCTGCATATTAATAGTTAGTAAGGTAGTTGTTAAGTTTAGGTATGGGGTAGGATTAAGGGATCTAAAATACAGTCATGCAGAATAAGGCATTAATATGTGCTTTATTAGTACTAATAAACAGCCAATATGCAATATGCATGCTAATAATCAACTTGTTAATAGTGAGAATTGGTCCTTTTACCGGTGTTTTTAACTACTATACTTAAGTCAAAAAAAATATTGTTAGGTATAATTTTGTGTTGATATTGAATTGCAAAACACTTTTGCTGCTATTTAGGTGGGATATAGTTAAGGTTAATGAAAGGTTTGGTGGTATGGTATCTTGCTAGAGTTTATTGTTGTTTCTAAATCATGTTACTTGCTACCAAGTGTCTGTTAGAACAAAATACGGGAGTAGAAAAGACTGAATGCACATACAGTAAGCGTTTTGTGCAGCATGATATCTATTTTGTTGTTTTTGTTGTTGTTGCCTCATTAAAAAATGCACATGCATTTAAAAGACATTGTAAATATATATATATATATATATATATTTACAAAGCAAAAACATGTATATACAAAAAAAGTAAATCAAATGATTGTAACAAATGATTAATTAAATTAATTTAATTTAAAATTAAGTACACAGTAAATATAAAGTGGGTCCCTTCAGTTAACTGAGTGAAAGTGGAGCTGTTGTAAATGAGGTAAAACAATTAATTTCAAGCCATATTAGGACATGAAGAAAAAAAAAAGTTTAGATATGTCATTTTGATTACCAAATATGAGTTTTAAATGAAGGGATCAAATTAGTGACTGTAAGGGGACTTTAAAAACTGGCAGGCCTAACTATTCTGCTATCCTGAATATGCACAGTTATATGGTTAGTTACATATTATGCAACTGCAGTCCGTGACCTTATGAGAACAGACCTGATATTGTGACCGTATTCTGTAAACAGTATTCCACATAGTGTGATCTCTGGCATACTGTACATTTTGGCAAATGTAATATTCCATATTCACATAAAAGCATACTGTACACGGCAGAAAGAGTAGGCTGACGTATGTGCGCTATGAACACAGCACACATGCCGTCAAATACAAGCAGTATATTAAGACAATAACTGAGGACGTACTGGCAAAATCACAAGGATGTCTCTGTAAATTATTATCTTATTCTTCTTTTTTTGGCAGCAGCTGTCATATCATATTCTCTCACTTGCTTTGGTCACGTAGCTCTCATCTAAATCACCAGGACCTTTTTCCATTACAGGTGACACCGCTAATCATCACAGCACAAAAATGTGCACATGTGCTCAGCTCATCCATTAGGCTTTAAGTGAGTGAATCAGTGTATAGATGGATGAAATATGCAGAAATGTGGTATGACCAATGATCTCAATCCAGCGCAGGCATGTATGCACTGCACACGCAATACTTAACAGCACGGGGTGAGTATATGGATAAGAGTGAAATGAACTTTTGTTTGCACATGTATGGAAACGGATGCACTCACCAAATATCTCTCCATTCCTGGCATATTCTGTGACTAGATAGAGCATGTTTTTGGTCTCCATGACCTATTGAAAGAGAGGAAACCTAATTATTATTCATTGCATGATTATGGGAATGCAATTAATACCACAAATCACAAAAACCACAAGAGCACAAGAGAATGACAGCATTTTCACCTGTCACAAGTGTTCACACTTAGCTTCAAGTGAGAAAACAATGCTACATCATTTTTTGTGTGTGAACCAAAGGAGAAGATGACAAGTGATTCACACTTAGTCAATAATATTATTTTAGAAAATTGAAAATTTCACCAAGATATTTTCTCTACGCTGCTGTCCTCTCTGAGCACGCTAACAAAAGTATCATAGCATAACCTTGTCTTTTGGACATGTACCATGGTATTGCCATCATACTCTGAAGTACACTGGAGTACCATATTGTAATACTGTGGTACATGATAGTAGCAATGATTCAGGACAATGGTATACGCAACTATCAAACATTTAAAAAATGTATATTCCTCACAATATAAAAATTCGAGCTTGAGACTTTACACTTACAATACAATACCATAACAATTAATACAATAAATATAATAATAAAAATATATTAATTTTGTAAATTAAATAATTGTACTAATATTTATTGATTATTATTGTTATTTTATTATTTTGAATAATAATAATATTATTATTTTGGGCACAACTACAAATGTTTTTTTCTTATTTTTTTTTTCAAACAAGTTATTAAGTGAACCAGTGAATAATAATAATAATATGTATTATGACGTTACTGTTAATTTTATATTTATTGTTATTACCGTATTGACCCGAATATAAGACGATGTTTTTTTCTTGGAAATACATCTGAAAAAACGCGGTCGTCTTATATTCAGGGTCTAGACTTTGACATGTCAATAATACACCCACAACAATAGGTGGCGCCAAATACGCATAAAACGAGTGTGCCATGAAATACGTGATGTAATGCGTGTTGTAAAGATCGCGAGTAAAAACCAAAACAAAATAAAAAGAAAACCTTACAGCTGCATGAGTCGTGACTGTCACGTTAGCCTGATGGGACCAAACTCCCTTTGTGATTTTAAAACGTAAGACAGTACCCAGATTTGAAGACTACAGTACGATTTAACTTCTACTGTTAATAAGATTTTAGTAGGCTACTATTAGATGGATAGCCTAAATGTCCTAATTCCTAATTTTTTTTTATGGTATATCAAAAAGTGTATATTTTTTAAATGTGATTGTTGGTACATTTAACCAGTTTTTACCATACTTTCAAAACAAAAATTAAAATAGGAAAAATATGCAATATGAAAATAATTGAAGACAAAACGTGTTTTACTGAGAAAAAACAAGATTTGGGTTTTAAAAAGCCTTTTTCCAAAAGGTACATCTGGAAAAGGGGGGGTCATCTTATATTTGGGCCAATACGGTATTTTAAAAAATATAGTAATAATTTAAACTGTTTTTTTTCCCCCCAGTTGACTTGCCAAAGGAACAGTGAGCAGTTTTTTGAAAGCTCTATGTATAATGTCTAATACCAGACAGACAGATCACAATATGAGCACTGCCTCTGGTAGAAGTCATAACCGGACTGCTGCTGATGCTGTATTTGTGTTGTGTAACAGCACAGGCAGCTGTTGATACTTTCAGCATCCAGGCCCAGAGTGACCTAAAAATCTTACATAACATAACAAGACTAACCCTATACAGCACCCAGATGAAACTCCTGGATTCAACAGTAGTCTCATGGGATAAATGCTAATACAGGTGACAAATCAAATTGCTTGCATGGGCAGCTGATGGATTATCACAAATTTATTATAAATGCACACAATACGCACATTAATGATTATGATTTACCTGGTAAAGCTTGATGATGTGAGGATGGTCCAGCAACTTCATGATTTCCACTTCCCTGTAGATCTTCTCCAGGTTCACTGCATCTAGCTGGGTCTTGTCTATGATCTTAATAGCCACCTGCAATTCAGCAAAAATGTAATGTTAGTTGTACTGAGCTTTTGTTATTCATTATTTACAGTTAACAGAAAAATAAAGGAATTTATTTATCCACTGAGCTGCACTGCAATAATAAACGACAATGAAATGGTAATAATTTACCTTTCTAAAAATCAAAAGACCACTTAGGCATATGCCATTTTGTATACAATACTTTATAGTTGTAATAAAGCAAAAAATAAAAATAAAATCATTGCTCATAGACTGCTTCCTTTCTCACGTCTTACTTTACAGCACCTTTTATAATTATGCAACTGCAACTGGATAGACAGCTGTTCCACTTTTGCCTCTAAGTGAGAAATGGTGGGAAGCTGCATAACTTGTTTGGTTTTATTTGAACTGATCTTGACTGAAGCTCTTAGTCACTCTACAACTCAAGTTCAGAGAGTAAACTGGGTTTTTTCATAGCACAACATCAATGAAGGCTAATACGAATCCAAACTGATGACAGAGAAACAAAGGGCAGATCCAGCTAGTGCCTGTTATTTAAATAAAATACACATTACGCAATGCACAATTTAAGTACTTCATCTAGATAAACAACAATCTGAATGTGTAAAAAATGTTTCCACTTATAATTTGCCACTGTGTCCTAGATATCAAAGGTCACTGTTGTTTGTTTTGTTTTGATCTAAGCAATTCATATAAAATTTGAAAACACATTTTCTGTGAAGAACATGTTTCTTTTTGATTTTTAAATTAAAATATAAGTCTTAAAAATGCTTAAATGTTACATTTAAAAGTCTCATAAGTAGTTTGGTTAGTGAAGAAATAAAATGTTAAAATATTAAAGGGGTCATATGATGCGATTTCATTTTTTCCTTTCTCTTTGGAGTGTTACAAGC